CCATAGGCTCAGGGGCAGCAAGAGGCTTCACCAGAGACAGAGTGGGGAGCAGAATAGGCAGATCTATGAAGTACACTGCTGAGGGGAGCAGCGGGTGGGTCAGGAGAGGTCTGCCACGCCATGTGGTCATCTCCGGGGCAGGCGGGAATCGAACTCATGCAGAAGTGGCTTTAGCTTCTTAGTGCTGTGCTTTAACCCGCTGTGCTACCAGGCCCCACTGTCATCTTTCAACAAAAAAGATCATATTTTAGGATCTATTCTAGTTAGAAGCGGGGCTACTGTACTTAAGTTTTATTTTTTAGCCAAAAATCTCAAGTTGGCCCTAAAATGAGTGGATGTGTGCAGAGGGGTAAGAGAAAAGCAATAGGAGGAAAGAGATACTTTTGTGACTATAGGCTTCCTTACCTTTGATATTGACTTTGGGACTCAGGTTGCATCCATTCCTGTGGGTTAGCAAATGGTTGAGAGACCTAGCTTTCCATCTTTGCTGCAAGGAAGTGGGGTAAAGCAAAACTGGGCAGTCTTTAAGAAGCATTGTGACAAACATTTTATAGTCTCCATATTTGTCCTGCCCTGGACTCCAAGGAGAGTACACCAGGGGAGAGTAGATGGTGGTGGGGGTAGTGGCTGGCATTCATGCTTCTCAGCGAGGAGAAAGGGAAAGGAGAATGGAGCATGGAACCTCAAGGAACTGATGATGATCATCAGCCAGCCACCCAGAAACAGTGGCCAGAGATGCAGCTGGGTCATCCCAGGGGCCTCAGGATACGTCGAGAAGTCTGGCCCTTATCCAGATACCTACCAACATGAAGGTATGGTCCTTTGAGATTTCTCTTTGAATGGGCTGGTCATTTGGGCTGACCAGCACTTCCTGGATTGTCTTCATAGCTCCATCAGAGGAAGCTGGAACTCATTTCTCCACACAGCCTCATTACTTAAGGTGATGTGTTTCAGTGAACAAAATCAGATCAATTCTGGCACAGAGAGAAATGCTAGCAAAATGGCCCGGTGCAATTGGATAATCTCCTTAACCTTAAGTGCTATTGTCCAACCCTAGGCACTTTGGCAAAAAACAGTTACTCCAAGGTGAATGTTCCAATGGTAGGATCAGCCAAAGCTGCTCTCAGCTCAATTAAGCAGACCCAGAGTATGTAGAACAGGGGACAGCTCTGGACTTGGAGCTCCAGGCTGTTGGGTTGTGATTCCCACACTACACAAGGGCGGTGATGCTCGTGCGTTCTCCAGTTGTCCAGGGCTGTTCATGGCACTGACATGCAATTAATGAGCCTTGTCTAATCCACAATCCTCTGATGCAGATGGAGATAATATTACTTAAAATGCTTGCAATGGGCACTTTGAAGGTAGATTTATGAGCTGATATTTTAAGTCCTAGCTACCTTTCCTTGTGTATAGATTTCAGTTAAACTGATATAGGTCAGTTTACACTGATGTCCTTGCACACAATGTAACCATAGCTCTAGCTGTTATGTGGAAAGCAGATTTAAGGAAACCACATAGACTTAAGGAGTTCAGTCAGGACTTCTCAGGCTCCAGAGACAGAGGAGAGAAGAAGGGAGCCATTCCTGGATATTGACTGTGGAGAAAACAAGGTGAAGAAAAGTGAGCTGGAGTTTCACTAAAACGTGGGCTTCAAAATCAGAATAGGTCATGTTGGCATTTGTGGTGGGATGTGCCTGCTTCCTGGGTAGGACTGTGAACTGCCTGAGAGCAGGGACTTGATTTTCATTTCTGTGACTTGGTGCCTTAGTCTGGCACAGAGTTGTTGCTAATCAAGTATCTGTTGAACTCTGAAAGAAGAAGGTATGTGATGGAGAAATAAAAACTAGGGGGAGGTAATGCAAAAGGATGAAGGCTTCTCTAGTGTCTGAGTAGAGTGAGATCTAGAAGAGAAGGTCTTCAGTGGTTTTCCATTCATCTGGAAGGGTGAAGACTGGGTCCTCACAGTGCAGGTAAGTGGAGGAATCAGGCCTGGGGCCTGCTTGCAGGTGGCTTGAGTGTCTGGGGGGAGGGGTGGGGCTGTGCAGATGAAGAACCTTGGCTCTCAGGGCTTTACACCGTGATGTGCTGAGCTCAAGCTGTGGGGAAACTACCTGACTGAATAGCTTAGTCATCTTTCCACTGACCTCTGCTAAGTCATTTCTTGGCATTTTCACTATTATATAAAAAGTGATGGGAGGGACTGGGAGAAAGACAGCCAAACCCAGGATACACCTTATCACATATGTCTTGCCTGCACCATTAAATCTTTTCTAGAGTTGTTTACCTGGCAACTAGTTCACAGCTTGTCTGCTACCCTTTATGGGATCCCTGGCCATCACCTAGACCTGGGGAATAGTTGTTTATGTCATCTTGGAGATGGAGGCAAGTTCCCTGTCTGAGTGCTGATGGCACAATCTCTGAGGCCCTTTTAAGCATTCTGCCTAAACAAACTGTATTTATGACCTGAAGGAGAATCACTTCTCAGTGTCTGCTTTCTCTGCATTCACATAAAACTACACATTGAATTGCCGTTTGCACATACATAAAACGTATCTTTAGGAGTAGCCTGGGATTCTTGGCTGAAGATTTTTGCCTCTTGGAAACAGAGGTGAGTGACATCTGTTTATTGTGTTATCACAGTCCTGACACCTGGTTGATGGAGGCCAGGTGCTTTCAGAATACACCTGAATGGTGGTGTGAGCCTCTACTTGATGGGCAAGGTAACAAGTGAGTTCTTGTTAGCAAAGCTTTGATGACCAATATCTGCCTTCCAATTTAGGGGTGACAACAATCAGTTGAAAACCCTGAGCTGCTGGAATCAGAAGCTGAGGTTTGGCTAGAGGTAACAATGTCACCAACTCCTTTGTAAAAGCAAAGTGCGTAAGAGGTGCAGGGAGGGCAGCAGGAATTTTAGTTGCATCTGACCTGTGATTAAGACTCCAAGCTTCTACACTGTGGCCATTTCTTGGTGGCATGTTGGTAGGAATTGCTCTTTCTCCCTGCTGGGCTCTGCGATTTTGGCAGGAAAATGTTCCATGTGTTTGATTTGAGCCCTTCTCCCACTTGAGCCTTCCTGGGATTTTGCCACTTGAGCCTTCCTGGGATTTTGCTCCAGCATTTCTTTTCTATTTATCTCCCCATTGGGTCTCTGTAGGATGCTGTTAGGTTGTTGGTAGTATTTATAGAGCTAGTATTGGCATTTTCTCTAAAGCACCACCTAAAGCTTCTTAGGAAGTAATTGGAAGTTCAAGACTAGCTCGCTGGTGTATTTTTACACTGCTCGTTGGAGTGTGATATGTGGGGGAGCTGTGGGGAAGCAGGCTGGCTTGTGGCTTCCAGACTGGAGGTGCTTTGATTGTTTCACAGAGGCTCACTGTGGGCCCTGTCTACCTGCAGCCCTTCACCACAGCCTGCTTGTGAAGACCTTACAAATGTACCTCTATTTTTTTCTGCATTTCCCACAGTAGTTTTCTTTTAAATTGCCTTAAGATCTGCGAGATAGGAGACCTAGAATGTCCTAAGAATTGGTTTTGGGAGACAAGAACGCAACAGCACTAATAAAATGTCTTATTGTTACTTTCTACCGACCTCCAGCAATAGGGAGCATACTGCATGAGCCCAGCGGCCACTCACGGCTGCTCTCGCACCAGGAGCTCAATGTAGTGAGGTGGGTAGGTGCGAGGCTCTGGCTAGACAGCAAACACTGATTTGAATCAGTGGGTTTACCTCCTTCCTTGGGCTTTTCAGTCTCGCCACAGGTAATTGGGGAAAATCACAGGGTTGACATGAGGATTGAATGTATTAATGTTCTATAGATGCTAGCCCTATTAATATGCATCTTTAGAACTTCTGCACAGAACACCTGCTTCCTGCTGTGTCTGCCTCTGTTAGCAGAAACTTTCCCCTGGAGCGAGACAAGTCTTGCAGCCAAGTTCACATCTATCCACAGAGGTATTGTGCTCACTTTTCTTCTTGAAGGTATGATGGCTCCATCTGGCCACTACATAGGGCTGCAAATAAGATGACTGTTCAGGGTAGCTAAGGCCGAACACGTGTATCTCTGCAAACCAGTTCCTCTGGGTTGCTCGACAGTGGCCCTTCCAGTTGTAAGCACCCAGCTTCACATGCAAAACTGGAAAGAACAATTTCTTTTACTTCAGATAGACATTGATGACCCCTCTCCCATCCTGCACAAAACCAGATGGGAAGGCTGAGCTTAATAGAGACTCAAACAACAAGATTTAAATAAATAAGCTGTATTATCTGTACAAAAAAAATATAAATACAGTTTTGTGTTTTAGAGGAGGAAATGCCTCCTTCCACATTATTCAGCAACCTTCATAATCTTGTGAGCTGCTGAGTCCCAATTCACAGAACAAACAGTAAATGTACATTCATCTCGTGCAAGGAGCACCCCACTTCCCACCCCAGCCCCAGGTCCTCCAGCTCAAACTGTTACAGTCCAACAGGTGGGGGGTGGGGTGGGGGCTGCAAGACACCTGCTATTTAGAAAGTGTGAATATTGGCCACTGGTTTTCCATAGTATTGAACTAGAAAGAGTCAGTCACATTAGTAGTAGTAGTATGGAATTTATCTTCATTCCATGCATAACTCTGTGTCACAAATGAGCCCCCTTCTGTTGCCCCATTATCCCATGTTAGCTTTTACAAAGCAATCTATACACAGTGAATGGGTCCAGAGTTAAACACCAGGTTGTATGTAAAATAGGAACAAGACCGTATTATCACTGAGTTTACAGGAACACAACTGCAGGAAGTTAATAAAAAGTCCCCCAAATATTTTGTTTTCTGGATGAACAATGTACAATTATTAATATTGCACTTTTTATACAAGAAATCCTAATAAATATTCACAAAAGATATACATAGAAAACATTCTCTTTTATTTTAAATAAAGTTGACACTGAAATTTAAGTAACATGATTTTTTAAAGCCCATTTTTTTTTTTTTTTTGTGGTAAGGAAGACAGACCCCTCTCCCACACCCCACCCCCGCCCTTAGTCATCATAGCTCACCTGAGGACGACACAGCTAAATATTGTCTCTCTCCCCCCATTTTACTTTCAGGTTGGCTGAAAAATGTCACTGGTCGCACTGGGTAAGTGGCATTTAATGAGGATTTGTGAGGGGGACATTTGTTTATCTGAGGGGTACTGGCTGGCTGCCCCGCCCTGCTAACCCAGCACTACACATGGCCACACGGTGGGAGGAGGCCCACCTCACTCCCGCCAAGCCACTGCACTGAATTAGTAACTTGCCGACACCGGTGTATATTCCTAGAATAGTATAGCGTTTCATTGTGTACAAGGAGTGGGCTGAAAAACTTTGGAGGACTGTCATGGCAGCTTTAGTTATCCTTTGGCCTTGCCACCACACCCTGTGTGTACCTCAGTCTGCTGTATAAACGGGAGGGCAGTGCTCACTGTATTGCAGGAGGCCCTGCCTGCTATTGCTCTCCAAGTCCTGGAACGCGATGGTCGCTATGGCTGGATGGCAGCAAACCGATACACTGTTTTTCACAAAGTAACCCTGGTTCCATGTCCCGAAGTGGTACAACACAGGTCATACCGACGGATCACTCAGGTATTTATACTATACTGGCCCACATCAGTATTAGTTCCAGACCAAGGACTCTTAGTTTCAAGAAGCCAGAGGTGGTCAGGCCCCACTGCCTCTGCGGTGTGTCCAGTTCACTGACCATATGTGGGGTACGTCTACTACCTGCAGCGCCGACACCTCCCTCAGGGCATCGGGGCTCAGCTACACTCCCCACCGAGGAGCACACAAAGCTTGCTTTTTGCTTCTGTCTCCTTCCTTCCTCCTCTTGTTTTCTGTACCAGTGCGCACTTCGGGCTTACTGGGATGTTGTCTCCTTTATCCCTACTTGTTAGCTTTGTGTCCTTGTCCTTTGCCTGCCCCCAGAAGAGCGAGTTGTGCCTCTGCTTGAGCTTCTCAGTGTGGCCCTTCCACACTGAGGGGCAGAGGAGGAGGCACATGCTGGCCTAAGTCTGCATCGATGCTTTACAGTCCCCAGGCACCCCTGCCCTCCTTTCTCTCACCTGCTATTGGCGCTGGCTCCCTCCTATCCTGAGGGCTGTGATAGCCTCGTCCTAGGTCTGTTCAGGACCCAGGTTTTGGAGGGAGCCCGCTCTGTCCTCTGACTCAAACTGCTCTGCAACCTCCTTTAGACCTCTGTCCATGTCCTTTCCCAGCATTGTGTCCTCCAGCTAACTGAAAGAGATATGCTGAGGTCCTCAAGACTGGGGGAGGGGACGTAAGGGGTGGGATGAAGGTGTATCTTGGGGGTGAGTGGGAGGGGGAAATAAATAAATAAAACAAAGAAAGCTTAAGTTCTGTCCAAGGTGGTTGCGTGAGTCCTTTGTGTGGCCAGGACAGAGCTCTTCCCTGTGCCCTGTCTTCACGCTTTGCCACAAGTTCCACAGCAGCGAGATTTGAACTGGCTGAGTTGGCAGAGTTTCAGCTGTTTGACCTTCTCGCAGTACCTGGTGGTGTCTCTGCACTCCACTGGGAAAGGAGGAGAGGGGTGAGGAAAGGAGATGTGAAATGGGCTAATGGCTGCAGCCCCTTACTGCTTTCTGGGTCTTTCTGGGGGAGTGACCATCACGGGAGGGGTGAGCACTGTCTAGCACCTGGGGTTAGCCTTGCTTTGGCAGAGCTCAGCCTCCCCCCACCCAAGGATACCCACAGGGGGACCCACCAGCCTGCACAATGATAATGGGCTGGCCCTGGGCCCACCCTTGCTGCCTTTCTGATAGTTTGCTTCCTCTCTCTTAGCTTTTCCCTCTGTCAGGACTGCCTCAGCCCCTAGGAAGGCTTGTCCCACTCTATGATACGTTTTTTCCTTTACTTTTGAGGCAAGACCCACAGGACAGCACCATGTGGCCCAGGTGATGGGTACTGGAGTTGTATCTACAGATCATGATTGCCATGGAAGGCTGGCAGCTGCTACCTAAGGAGAGGCTTGGCTGTATGTCCCTGGGAGCCTGTGGTAAGAACCAAGCCTATCCCCAGCTTAATGTGGGGCTTCTAACCAATACCTTTCTATTGTGTGAAGACACCCACTTTGTGGTACTAATACACACCCCAAGGCAGTTAGTATTGGAGAGTCAGGCAGGGCCTGGTGGGCACAGTAGATATTTTGGATGTGGCTCTGAGGGTGTTAAGCAGAGAGGGCCACAATGGCCACATGCAGCCCACGGACCCCCAAGCATTCAACTCCAGAGTTTTGAATGGTTGTGTTCTTTCTGATAATTTGTTTTCAGTTCCAGGACCACTGCCTTCCTGCTCATCGCTCACGGACTACCTGATACCCTGCAGGGAACAAGCAGAACCCAGTGGTCCTTCTAGAAAAGGGTTTGGCAATGCTTCCCTGGACATGGAAGTCTAGCTCTTTGGTAACTAACAAAAAGTTAAGTCCACCATCTGAGCTCTAGGCCAGGCCTGTAAAGATATCTGCTATGAGCTTGAGAAAAGGGATTAAAGAAAAGACTGCACATGGGTGTTTCTCCCCCCAATGCTTGGGTGCTGTTGCTCACTTTTGCAGTCCCTGTGGGGCTGCTGGCCCCAGTCAGTGGCCAGGGGGTGCCAACCAGGCAAAGAAGCCAGGACTGATGGGGTTCAGGTATGCTGTAGAGATGGAGCAGGCTACCCCCTCTGTGGTATTTAGTAAGCAAGTCTCCTTGAAATGATTCCCAGGAGACCTAACACCTCCCCTTGAAGTAGCTGCAAACATTTGTTTCTTGTATTTTCCACCTAAAACTCTCTATTCCTTCCACCTGCCATGCCTTAGCAGAACATTGTGGTGAGCACCCCACAAGAGAGGAAGGTCCACCCCTCCACACTGCAGAGACAGCAAGGGCTGTTTCTGCCACAGCGCTGGGAATCTGTCAGCAAGGCCTTCATGGGGCAAAACTGCACCCCAGCGTTTCTTGATTTTCTCATTCTTTTTCGTCTTCCCTGTGGAGACCATCTCTGTTTTGCTTGAGGTCCAGAGGAAGAACAAGAGTGGGGGGGTCTATTTCTTCTTCCTCTGGACCCCAAGCAAAACGGAGATGGTTTTCCACAGGGATGAAGACCAGAGAATGAGAAAATAGACCGACTCACTCAACTGGGATACAAATGCTGGTGTTGGGTGGAAGAAGACAGCAAGTTGAGGTTGTGAATGGGTATCGATCCCGGGGACACGTGCCTCTGCAGTTCTGGTGAGTACCCGTGGGGCTGGAAGGTCAGCAGAGTGTGTGTGTGGGGGGGGCGCTCTGTGTGCTTCTTCACTGTGAGCAGTGCTTTTTCTAGTAGTCTGGCCTCAAGAACCACCATTTAGTTGTTTCCCTGGGCACCAGCAAACTGCTGGAGGTGTATTTCATCTAGCACTTGGCCAATAACCCTTCACTTCCTTGAGGCCAGGAGGAAACTGGGAGTCCATGGCACACATCAGCACCTTTTGTGGCCACAACATGAGCGCACAAGTTACTGCACACAGGCTTACAGCCCTCTGATAAAACCCAGCTCACAATCCTTGGGAAGCCTGACCCAGTGCCTTCTGCTCAGGCTGGGTCCCAGGGATGGCCCTCTGCAGCCGAGCTGCCTTGGGAAATTTACAGAAGGTTCTTTGGGGCTGGAACGTACTGTTTTCGCATGGAGTGATGTTGCAGCGCTGCCAGTTCGCGGGCCGGGGTCCCCAGGAGCACAGGTGCTCAGGCACGGCCTTGTTGGTGCGGATGTGCACGCATTCCACGCGCCGCGACTGGAAGCCATAGTTGCCACAGGTCGCTGTACACAGGGTCCACAGACTCACCCTCCAGTGGACGCTGCAGGCCTCTGACCAGCAGTTCTGTGTGCTCACAGGCCTGTAAGGAGAGAGTGGCAGGGTTAGGGTCTGCCTCTGCTGGGGATGGCCAGGAAGCCAGAAGTGAAATAAGGTTGCAAACCCAAAGGTGTTGGGCACTCCTCAAGAACTTTCAGGGCTGCCAGACCTAGGCTCAGCATGCTACTGTTACTGAAGGGCTATGCAAAAGGCCACTTCTTTTTTTTTTTTTAAAGATTTATTTATTCATTCATACAGAACTGGGGTATAGGCCAGAGATGCGAAGGGTGAGAGGATTCACCAGAGACAGAGTGGGGTACAGAACAGGCAGATCGACAAAGTACACTGCTGAGGGGAGCAGTGGGCGGGTCAGGAGAGGTCTGCCACGCCATGTGGTCACCTCCGGGGCAGGCGGGAATCCAACTCATGCGGAAGTGGCTTAAGGTTCTTAGTGCTGTGCTTTAACCAGCTGCGCCACCAGGGAGGGCCAAAAGGCCACTTCTTTTAACTGGGTCACCAGCTTTTAATTTTTTTTCTCGACAGTGTCACTGAATGACCTGAGAATGAGCTCTTCCCAGAGTAGAGCCTGAAGCTGGGGCCTTTGGAGGGATCACTGAGCCCTCAGCCCAGGGGGGAGGCAGCAACAGGAGGTATGATAGGGCTGGGGACTGGAGAGCAATAATAGGGAGAGATCCAGGGATGAGGGTTCTGGTCTCAGCATATTTCTAAAAGGAGGTGTATGGCGGGTGGAGCCCTTGAGGTAAGGCCGCCACTGTGGGGAACCACACCTCCTGCTCGTTCAGGCCTCTTACAGTATCAGGCATGGTGCTCCCTGACAGAAACAGCACCTTTCATCCCCAGTACAGACAGGCCAACTTGACCCATTTGGCCAACACTAGGCCAGGGGCTGAGAGGCTGATGACTGGGGGGAAATGGAGGTGGAAGGGCTGGTTGGAGGAGAAACATCACTGACTGCTGTCTTTCTCTTACCTTGGCAGGGCACTGCACTGCTCTGACGGTAAGGTGATGCCATCCCGTGTCTGGCAGAAAACTTGCCTGTGCTGCACAGCAAGGCGAGGGCCGATGCATGGTCCATTGCACTGGTAAACAGAAAAAGGTGGCACCAGTGAGGGGGGCTGTGTGGCATGTAGGATGCCACAGTTGGTGGCCAGCTCTCCTGTGGTCTGACAACTGAACATTCTACTAGCAAATGCCTAATGGTGGTGCACAGCCACTACAGACTGTCAGCCCCCTCCCAGATTCACCACAAGAAAGGTGTTTTTTTGGCAAAATGTGTTATTAAACTTTAGAGCTAACGACTTCTAAGTCCAGGCTCCCTCCCTGTTCAGATCAGAGGGTAATTTAGTTTGTTTCCTTGCTGATTTCATCCAAATAACTGACCATCTTTGACTTGATTTCTCCCAGGTTAGACCCAGGATGGTTGAACAAAATTAGGCAAAGCTATGTAGTGTGGACTTCTGGAAATTAACCTTTCCCTAGCTGGCAGAACCAGACTCTTTCTGAAGGCTCTTATTTTGGGGGGCGGGAATAGAGAGGGCGTTTGGACTCCTAAGGTCCATAGTGGGCCATGAACCTTTGAAATTATAAGCGGGAATCTTTTTTTTTTCTAGTAAAAAGTGCCAGTTTTCAGAAGATGCTCACAGGACCTCAAAGGTTAAGAACTCCCCAAGGGGAAGGAGTTAAGATACAAGAACCCACCTAATCAGGTAACTTTGCCTAAAGTCTGTGATGGTTCCTTCTGCTATGGTCAAGTAAACCAAGTCTTGTCAACCTCATAATTCTGACCAAGTGATGTTAGAAGCTGTGAACTGGGAAGATACATATAGGCTCTAAAGAGTCCCTTATTAGGTGTTAGCTTGGCTGCTATAGACATTTGACTGTTTTTCAGAGCACAGTTCTGGCTGTGATTTCATGTTTCTGTGATATTAGGAGGACCTAGAGTTTCTCATCTGACATTTTGTTGATGGCCCTTGCCAATAAGTGAGAATTTTGAGAGTAATGTGTCCCCAGCAGCTCTATTTTCTCCAGTCTCACATATAACTGTCATTGCTAGTCTGAGTTCTGTGCCAGTTACCCCAATGAAGGTGCGTTTCACAGGGAGAATGATTGGTTATAGGTTAAGTTCCACTGGCCAGTGCTTACTCTCATTGTTAAATTCCTATGCATTTGATGCCACTGACCCTTTCTTCTGGAATTACTTTTCTGTGAATACACTTTCTATATTTTTTCTTACTTTATTTAGTGTTCCCCAGGGTGATCTTAACCTATTACTCTTGGCCACCACTTGCCTACTTATGGTCACATTTAGCCAGTTTTCTTGTAGATCCACACATCCAACTTCTGTCTACTTGGCTATCTCACAAACAATTTCTTAATTCTCCCTGATCGTTTTCTTCCTAGTTATTCAATCCATAAACCTGGGACATGTTAGCTACCTGGTAGCCAGGAGTTGTGCCCACCTTGTGAATTGCATCATCATAGGGGGACCAACTTCATCCCCTCTATTCCAGTGTCTTCATTATAACCAGTATAATTTATCACCTACACTGTTCCTCTTTTGTCTAGTCCTGGACAAAACAGAAGTCCAAGTTCTCTTAACCATACTACTGACAGAATAACCTGATCATGACTCCTACTTAATATTACCTAAACACCTTATTCAAGATATAGTCCTCTTCAGGATCTCATACCTTTCCTGCAAACTATTTTTATGGAACACATCCCCGAACCAAGATAGATGCCTCAAAAATGTATGTTGGAGGAAAGGAGCAAAGCTTAATTATTACATGAAGTCAGTTTGTTACAACTTAGCAAGTGATTTTAGTCCTACTTAGACTAAAGTGGTAGGCAGATGGAGGAGTGGATATTTGCATAACACTGGATGCAAATGCTTTTCTTATCAGAAATCATTACCAATCTCACAGAAGTGGATGTCTGTGGAGCAGCTGCAGATTGAAACACATTTCAGTAATGTCATCAGAAGAACTGCTTCAACAGGACTGTGAGAGTAAGCAGTTCCCTATAGTTTGTTTCTAATACCTCAAGCCTTGCTATTTTTAACAAGTATGTTCAGTGGGCCAGATAGCATCGTCATCACTTGCAATATTTAGTAACTGAGCATGCAAAGTGCTACGCCAGTCCTGTTATATTAGATTTGCATTTCTCCTAAGACCTGCTGGTGATTCATCTTAAAGTTTGAATGACCTTAGTAATATGGCATAGCAACTCATGTATAAGTCTCAAGCTACTGAATGAGAACCATCAGAAGTGGACTTTTCCAGGGAAGAGAAAATTGAGTTCATGCCTCTTTATGGAACAACATTAGGTTAGAGGTGGGGGAGATTGTTAGAGGTGCCAGAAATCGATCAGTTCTATGCATTATACCTGGACTCACCAGGGATACAAATGAACTCTGTGACTACTTTTCTCCCAAGTGACATTTGTTCTTCTCTAGTGGTAGCAACAATTTTTTCACTCAATAGGAAATTTGGAGGGTAAGGAGCATAGTAATATATGAAGATAGCTAGTTCCAACATATTTTGAGTTGTAACTGTCCAGTGAAGAGCTTTGTGATTGTATCGTCCATCCCTAAAAGGTGACCTTGTTCATTTAAAAGCCTTTCAGTTTGCACAGCTCTTTATAATTCCTTTCTGTGTGGCTATTTGAGAGACTGCCCTGTTTATGAATTGTTGAATAAAACTGAGAAGATCTTTAAAATATTCTCAGTTAAACTAACTTCTCAACAGATTTTGTGGGGGCTACAGGAAACTGACAATTTCCAATCCTTTGGGTTTCCTGGAAGATGTGGGAAAGTTACTTTTTGTTCTTAATTGAAATAACATTGCATTATAATGTTAGGCAAGATTCAGGTGTGCATTAATAAGGCACTATAAACTACATCAAATTCTATCCTTTTGTATACAATTGAAAACCTTTCATGTCTATTTTATTTAGTTCATTTATGTTGTAAATAGGATTTAATCCCTTTTATAGTTGGAGTATTTCACTGTGTATATATACATCACCATCTTTTCATCCAGTCATTTGTTGATGGATAGTTTGGTTGGTTCCAACTCTTGACTGTCAAAATGCTGCACTGAATGAACACTGGGAGACACATACCCCTTTGAACTGGTGTGTTTTTTGGGTAAAACCCAGATCTGGTAACTAACTTTTAAAGAGATATCTATCTTGCTTTCCAAAGTGGATGCTCCAATTTAACATTCCACCACTAGTATCTAGTACTAAGGTTGCCTTCTACTCACATTCTCCCCAACACTTGTCTTTTGGGTAATAGCCATTCTCACAGTTGTGAGGTGTTACACCATTGCTTTGGTTTTCATTTTTCTAACAATAAAAGTTGATAAACACCTTTTCACATGTCTGTAGGTCTCTGCATGACTTCTTTGGAGAAGGTTTTTTTTTCTCTTCCAGCTCCTGTGTTCATTTTTAAATATGTTGTTCTATATATAGTTGGGTAGAGTAAGGTGGCTTTTTCTCTTACCTTTGCAGTCTAATGACCACAAGTAGCTTTAAGGATTGTGATGCCTATGTTTTCTTCTCTGCATCTCCAATCCATTTTGAATAATTTTTTTGAATGGTGTGAGAGAGGCTTAGTTTCATTCTTTTTTTCATGTGACTATCTAGTTTTCTCAGCACCATTATTGAAGAGACTTTCCTTGCTTCATCATAAACTCCTCTTTTTGTTAATTAGATGCTCATGGTTTTATTTGTGGGCTCTGACTTTTCTACTAAGCTGTGTGATTTCTATTACTCTTAGTACAGTGTGGCATCGGGGGTGTTGATAGCCCCATTTTTCAGGAATGCTTTTGTAGCTCCAAATAAGTTCATGCCCCTTTTTTGGTTTATTTCTGTTACAAATAGTGCTGAAATTGAATCTCTATATTCCAGTCCACAAGCAAGAATATTCTAGTTCTGTGAACAATGCCATACAGGTTTCAGTGTACAAATGTTTTACCTATTTGGTTAAACTTATTCCATGATATGCAATTCTTTTTTATGTGGTTGCAAATGGGGTTATTTTCATGATTTCTCTTTCAGCTAGTTTGTTATGCATAGAAGCATAACAGATTTCTACATATTAATTTTGTAGCTTGCCACTTTAATAAAGAGATATTAGAATAAACACAGTATAGTCTCTGGGATTTTCTATGTACATTATCAGATCATCTGCAAATAGTGATGACTTCTATCCAATTTGGTATAATTGATGTCTTATTTTTTTGTCACCTATTTTTTCTTGTTAGGACTTCCAACAAAATTTTGAGTTGTATTGGTGAGAGTGAATATCCTGTCTGTGTCTTGATCTTAGAAGCAGCATACTAGAAGAAAAAATTTCAGTTTCTTGCTAAGATCAGGTACAAGAAAAGTCACTACATAATATAGTGTTGGAAGTCCTCCATAGAGCAACTACGCAAGAGCAGGAAGGAAGACATATGTAAAAAAAAAAACCCTAAGGACATCATTAAAATAAATAGAAATGGGAACAGATTTCCTGCTCATGAATTGGAAGTATCAACATTGTTGAAAATAGCCATCTTATTGAAATTAATGGCATTCTTCAAAGAAATAGTACAAATATTGAAATTTATATGGAACCACACAAGACCCAAATATACAATGCAATCCTGACGAGGGGCATCAAACTCCCAGACTTCAAACTTTGCCATAGCAATAGACACACAGGCTAATGGAATAGAACTAAGAGCCCAGAAATAAACCTACACTTAGATTACCTGTGTAGATTAAGACAAAGGCAAAATGGCCACAGGAATATTGTTGGGAGCAAAAATAAACATGGGACTATATCAAACCGAAAAAACTGCACACCAGTGGGAGAAAATAATTGTACATCATATATCTGACAGAGAATGGCTTACATCAAAAAGACCAGAAATAATAAGTATAGTGTGGGGGTGGAGAAAAGAAACTCCTGTATACTGTTAGTAGGAATGTAGATAGGGCAAGCCCCTATGGAAAAACCATATGATTCAGCAGCTCGGTTCCTAGATTTTTACACAAAGAATGCAAAAATGAAAATTCAAAGGGGTATATGCACACCTGTGTTCACTGTTTACAACAGCCAAGTTATGGAAATAACCTAAAGTGCCCAACAATTGATGAGTTGCTCTATGTATACACAAACACATTTCTATATAGCTATTATATAGCTATAAAAAATGAATTCTTACCATTTGCAACAACATGGATGAGGTTACACTAAGCAAGTTAATCAAAAGGAGAAAGATCAGATGGCTTCACTGATATGTGGGTGCCATGTGGTAACACACATCTACAGTGTTGATGTGAGGTATGAGCCCATTATCAATCCTACGGTAGTGTAAACCAATCTTACCTTAGGCATTCTAAGGAACACTGTCTTGGTCAATCTGGATTACTTGTTCACCACAGGACCCCGGGGCAAGGATGACCTTAGAGAAACTGAGTCTGAGGGAGGTCTTTGAGGGCCAGATGATTGGAGAATAGGAAAACCTCAAGGTGGAAAGAAAGGAAAAGTGCAAATACGGGAAATGTGAGTTATATAAAGAGCTCTGGGCAGATTAGTTGACGGGAGTGTGAAAGTCTGATCATCAGAGAGAGAGCACTGGTGGTCCTTTTACTTCCTATGGAGGCACCATCCACACCTTTAGATTTGCCTTTCAAATAAAACCCTCTTTGGCCTCTTACCTGGCCCCAGCTGGAGAAGGCCCACTCCACACAGAGCTGTTGGTTACAGGCTTGGGTGTCCACTGGCCGTTTGGCGAGCTGGCTGCACATGTCATTGGACACAGGGGTGGAGATCCCAGAGGCTTTCAGCTTCTGGCAGGTCACCCGGCGGGTCTGGACACCTCCCCCACAGCTCCGGGTACAGGCGGACCAGGAGGTCACCATCCACCTGGAAGAGAGGAAGAGGAGTCAGGCCTTAGGGAGTGGCACGATGCCACATATTCCCGGAAAGCACCCCTCCCTCGACTCTCCCCCTTTTCACAGAATCTACTTGGAGTAGTAAGCTGAAAAAGGCCTCCCCAAAGATACCTGTGTCAAATTCCTGCAATCTGTGATTTTATCTTATTTGGAAAGGCTTTACAGATAGAATTAAGGATTCTTCCCAGATTATCTGGCTAGATCCTAAATACTATCACTGGTGTCCTTTTAAGGTGGGGGGGAGACTGGATGCAGATACCGCACAGGAGGCGGCAGAGGTTGGAGTAAGGTGGCCAAGTCTGGAGCCACCACAAGCTCCCAGGGCTGAGGAGTGATCCCATGGTGGGAACAGCCCTGCTGATTTGGACTTCTGGCCTCTAAAACGGTGACAGAATAAATTTCTTTTGTTTTAAGTCACCATGTTTGTGGTACTTTCTTGTAGTCCTAACAGGAAATGAATCCCCTTGGGAAAGTGACTAAAAAGGTTTACTCTGAAAGAGTGATCTGAAAGTCGTTGACTCAGCTTTCCCCTGGCCCAAAGGCCTTGAACTTGCAGGTGGAGTCTGTGGGGAGACAAGTCCTTTAATTAGTTATCCAGAACTATGGTTTTGGTATTTCCTAAAGGCACCCAGCTGTGTGGCAAAGGACCATTTTCTAGGGAAGGCAGCGCCCAAACTGTGTCACCTAACCGGTGAGGCAACCTGGTATCACTAAAGCCAATGCATTTTGTCTGCTAGTGCTGCTTCTGTTTCTCCTTCTAGATAACAAAATTCCTTCTAGCTTTAGATCAACTTCCCACTGCTACAAGGCATACTCCACAAGTCTTACACTCTTAGAGGGCTGTAAATGTGGTATTCTCAGAATACTGGGTTCCAAGTACAATTTGGGTCCTCAGAAGCAAGCCTGTCCAGGACAATGACTTGTCTCACAAAGTCAAGCCCATAACCTGAGAAACACTCTGAAATCCCTGTCCCTATACACAAACATGGGGATTCCCTAGGATGATTCTTAAAGAGGAGAGAGGGAGGACAGTTTGTGGGAAAATAGCAAGACTTGGTGCTTTTCAGACATGTCATTCAAAACACTTGCATTTCACCGCTTGAAAAAGTTTTATCTAAAAGAAATGGTTGAAAGACCAAAGAAGGTCAAAGCAGGACTATAAAAAGATGACCTGGGAAAGACTAGTTTATATGAAAGAAGGGTGACAAAGTGCCCAAAAGCTTGATAGAGAAACCAGTTAGCAGTGACCCTGAGGTCCCTTCTAGTCCAGTGGTGCCATCTGGCCCTTAGGAGAGCAAGAGCAGGGACAGGGAGCGAACCTTCTTCCCCATCTGGATCTGTGATTTAGTTTGGTGCAACTTCCTGCTCCATTTGCCCCGGGGAGAGATGGCTGCGTGCAGACTTCCAGTCCACAGGAGCAGAGCCACTGAGGAAGCAGGCACGAGGTGTTTTAAAGCTCCTGGGGGGCATGGAAACCCAAGCACACGCAGCCATTATTTCATTTGCAGACGTAAATGAGGCTGATTAACTCTGACCATCACTACAGCAAATCAAAAAGTGGCTGGCATTTCCAAGACCTCTTCTTCATTTCACAGTTTGGCAAGGGCAGTCTTCCAGCCTCTCATATCCCTGGTGAATGTCAGACCTGCATTTCAATCAACTTTTATTTCCAAATATACATTTCAGCAATTTTTCAGGAGCTGGGGTGGGGGTTTGAGAAAGGAGCGGCCTGGGCTATGTTACAGTTCAGGAAGGGTATTAAAGGACATTAATCATTCCCGTGGAAACCTTCCCGTCAGCAAGTTAAACTGCTGATATTAATGAGCATGTTTCATATTTCATTGAGTCTCTCCTGGTTTCAGCTGCTCCTTATGAGTCAGCTGGCAAAACACAAAGTGGTCGCCTAAATAGTATGTGAAAGTCCCACAGATAAGTAGGAAAGGGGCATTTCAGGGTCCAGCCAAGTCTGTGCAGGCTCAGGGCGCCATGCTGATACCAAGCCTAAGCCCACCCATTATCCCGTTAGCTTCTGTCTGATGATTAGGGTGGGGGTGCCCAGCAGAACTGACTCACAGCTGCTCAATGCTCAAGGACAGGGGAAGAGGCAGAAGGCGTGGGCATCATTCTGAATATTCAGGAAAGGGACCCAAATGCAGAGAATATATACTCAATGTTGAGGGAACTACAGAAAACGAAGATTTCAACTTTAGAAGGTGAATTCCTTTGTAGAAAACAAGAGGATAATATTACCTCAATTGAATGAGTCCTGATTAAAGGAAAGGGAGAGACTGGGGTAGAAGACAGTGATCCTGATCCCCTCAGCGCTTCAATGGCAACATACTGCTTTTTTTTTTGCTTTTCTTTTTTTTTTATATATAAACTAGAGTCAGTGACTTACTGCAGGATTGGGGTCATCTCTTTCCAGGACTTGACTCCTTTTGCTCTCCAAATGACTTTGAGGCACTGGAGCAGCCCTTAGATGGCTGAGTGGTGAGCAAACTGTTGAGGGAGGACACTCATTCTGAGGCATATTTTGTGTGTTGGTGGAAGGGCCTGAAAAGCCTGTGCCTATAGGAAAGAGTAGCCTCGTGGATGGCAGAATCCCGTGGATGGCAGAATCCCGTGGATGGCAGAATCCCGTCTATGTACTCAGACTCCCCCTACTGTGCTTGACAAAGCCAGGGCTCATCCTTGGGTGGGGGAGGCCGGAGTCAGCATCTGCCACACTCACCTTGAAGGGCAGTCTCTCCGGTTGCAGGCCAGGGGCTGCACAGCGGGACGCACCTTCCCTGCACAGTGATCTGGGCTGACCTCAGTGCTATTCAGCAGACACCTGAGGCGGGGCTGTTGAACACCCCTGTTGCCACAGGAGGCCGAGCAGGTTGCCAGTCTGTCCACAGACCACCAGTAATCTGTCACAGGAGGAGGATCAGAGGTGAAATTAGGGGAACAGTATGTCCTGAATGAACTCCACCACTGATGTTTTATGGACTCCACCTTCATGCCAAAGAGATCCCAGGTACCGAGCACTACAACTCCCACAATGCCATGGGTTTACCATGATGCTTGACTTGTTAAGGGGGATTGCCGGAAACTGAGAGGTTGAGCAGCCATGCTTGGTATGTGGGCTGCAGGGTGCTGCTTGGTTTACCTGTAGGGAGGGCGTCCCAACTCACAGTGTTGCTGATAGGACCTAATGACCATTAATCTATTTATCTTTGGAATCCACTCTACTTTTATTTCCCTTGTAAACAAACCTTTTATTAACCATTCTTTGTGTGCCTGCCCTTGGGTGTTGTTCTGAGTTTTTTAAGCATGCAGGTGAGGACTCACACCCAGGCCATTCCATTTCCCTTTGGGGTTTCCCTGAAACAAAAAGTTGATATTCTGTATTCCCTCTGAGCTACGCAGTATGAGGTCAGGAGGGGGCTAGAAAGTGCGGGTGTGTAGGGGGTGAGAGTAGGAAGGAGGAGCTGCTACGCTCCTTGGTGGGCTCTAACTCCAACTTATCTCAGCAAGTCTCATGTTCTCCAGGACCCTCAGTTGGCTCATTTAAAATGAGTAGAGCAGCCTTCACTTCATCAAGTTATTGTGAGGACTGGGTATAATGAAAGTAGAGGTCCTAGCCCAGTGCCTGGCACACAGAGATAATTAATCAGTAGCCATAACTCTTTATTATTTTTAACATACTTTCTAGTTTTTTTTTATCAGAAAGTGGCTTTTCAATAGATATAAAATATTGGATACTTTATAATCTGATTTAAAAGTGCAGATCAAGTCAGGCTTTATGAATGTTATAAAACCAGCCTATTTGGAGAATATTCAGGTCAGAAATGATGTCAGTTAGAAAGGGACTTTCTTCTGATGTTCTCTTTGGGGTCTGAGACTCACTGGTAGGAAAGCTGTTAAAAATAACTGTGGGCTGGTAAACTCTGAGTGTTTATTTGCAAGGTTGCATATTACAAATCTTATAGATAGGTACTGGTTTTTGGTTTTCCGCAGAGAATCGTTGGCCGGTAAGAAAAAGGAATATTTACTTTCCTGTCTGGAAAGCGAAGTGGCAGGGAAGATGATGAAGGGGAAACCCATGTGCTCAGACAAATCTCCTTGCTCATGTGTTATATTGCCACAAACGCCTGCCCTGCCCACAGAATTTTCCCCTTTAGAATACATGCAGCAGAGTACGGCTTTCCCTGCAGTACCATACTCAGGTCACAAGTAGCAGCATCCTATGCAAACACGGATCAGCATCACTCACTCACTCTCTCAGAACCACGTTTTCCTACTAGAGAACGAGATCCTTAGAGGATCTCATTAGAGGGACTCTCTTGTTCAAGGAGTCAACATGGTACCCACAGCCGGAAGGGTTTCTTACCTTGGATCACTAAAGAAGCCTTCTGCACAAGTGTTCCTGCCTCATTCTGAGCAAGGCAGCTGAATTCCCCTTGGGACCCGCCACTAAGATTTGCGACCTGGAGAATTTGTCCGGCTGCCAAGATGTGATATGTCAGTCCAGTGACAGTGGCAACTGGTTGGCCACCATGGAACCAGGTGATATTGGGGGTAGGGTGGCCTTTGACGGCGCAGCCTAGGTAAGAGAAGAGAATGGAAGCCATTTGTTAAGCTAGTGGTTAAGAACACGTTCCAGATGAACTTTTTAGTGTTTCCATACTTCCTGTTTATTTTCCATGGGTAATATTATATTACAGGAGGTGGTTTTATTCTCTAGGATTCTGAAAGGGTGGTTATTATTCAATTAAGAAAAAATTCTTGGAGAACACAAAGCACCCATCACTATATTTACAGTTTTTTTTATGACTTGAAAACAATCTCTAATATTAATACTCTAAAAGGTGGTTAGGACTAACAATAATATAATTGCCTGACACAGATAAACCTGTTACATTTAATTTTTTTGTAGAGTTAACAGTGGCTTATAAAACTAACTATGATTGAGAGGTTTAGGGGGTATGGGTTCCCACCTCCTGGGATATCTGTCTCCACACCACATCCAAAATCAGGGCACCCACTGTCCTCCATTAAAGTCCATTAGCTGTGCTTTCCCGCCCTCTGATTTGGGATTTAGCCATGTGACCACTTTGGTCAATTACGACATACTAAGTGTGAAAACAGCTAATGGATTAGAAGACTTCATATTGTTTAGATGTCACTACCCCCTGCACGTAAACTATAGTCAGTGCAATCCCTCTCAAAATCCCAATGATATTTGTTTTTAGAAACAGAAAAATCCATCTTAAAATTTGTATGGAATTTTAAGGGATTATGGATAGCCAAAACATGCTTGAAAAAGGACTAAGTTGGAGGTCTCCAACTCTCTGATTTCAACAGTTTGTGAAGTCACAGAAATCGAAACAGTATCGTACAGGCATAAAGATAGACATATGGGCCAATGGAACAGACATTCTAGAAATTCTTACATATATGGTCAAATAATTTTCAACCTGGGTGCCAAGACCCGTCAATAGGGAAATGTGGTCTTTTCAACAAATGGTGCTGGGAAAAGAAGCAACATGTAAGAAAAAGTTGAATCTTTACCTTACATCATATAAAAGCAACAACTCAGAAAGGATCTAAGACCTAAAGTTAAGATTTAAAGGTGTAAAACACTTAGGATGGGCAATTAATAAAAAAAACAGAGACAAATTGGACACCATCAAAATTAAAGCTGTGTGCATAGGGCACTGTCAACAGAGTGAAAAGGCAAACAGAATGTGAGAAAACATTTGCAAATTATAGCTATAACAGGAATCGATATCCAGCTGATATATAGAGAGAATTCTCACAACTGGACAATAATCACAACCAACCAAATTAAAAATCAGGCAGAAAACTTGAATAGTTATTTTTCCAAAGATCTAGCAATTCTGCTTCTGAGTATGTATCCAAAATAATTGAGAGCAGGGGTTTAAAACCGATATTATCAATATTCACTGCAGTATTAATCATGATGAAAGCCCAAAGGATGAAGGTCCTCCCTGGTGGCACAGTGGTTTAAAGCACAGCACTATGAAGCTAAAGCCACTTAAGCACGAGTTCCATTCCCAGCCAGGGAAGTGACCCACATGGTGTGGCAGACCTCTCCTGATCCGCCGCTGCTCCCCTCAGCAGTGTACTTTGTCCATCAGCCTGTTCTGCTCTGCACTCTGTCTCTGGTCAATCCTCTCACTGCCCCTGCACTTTTGGCCTGTACCCCAATTCTGTATGCATAAATAAATAAAAATCTTAAAAAAAATACTCGAAGGATGAAAAGAACCTATATTCATCAGTGGATAGATGAACAAAATGTGTGCATGTATGAAGGAATGTTATTCAGCCTTAAAAGGAATGAAATTCTGATACATGCAACAGGGATGGACCTTGAAAACAGTTTGCCAAGTGAAATAAGTCAGACACAAAATGGTAAATATAGCATGACTCCAATCATATGAGGTACCTAGAGTAGTCAAATCCATAAAAGTAGAAAGTAGGGGAAGGAAGGACTGGAGAATTATTATTTAATGGGTACAGTTTCAGTTCAGGTTGATGAAAAGCTCTGGAGATGGAGAGAGTAGTGGTTGTACAACAATGTGACTGTAAGCGATACCAGTGAAGTGTACAGTTCAAAGTGGTTAAAACAGTCAATTGTACATTATGTATGTTTTTCCATAATAAAAGAAATGAGGCAGACTTGTTGGTGAACCACTTCCAAACCTAGACCTCAAGAGACTGAGATTTTGCTTGTGTCTTTGCCATCACCAGTAGAACATGCCTGGACGAGCCTGATGAATCCCAGGAGAGAAATGTGAGGAATAGTTAGGTCACTTCAGCCAATCCACTTTAGAGCAACTGAATTAAATAAGATTAGTAAGAATAAAGTATTTAATATGTAAGCCACAGTGTTTTAGTTTTGTATTCATGCAGTTGTGTGTGTGATACAGATAGGGAGAAGGTCCCACTCCTTGGTGTACAGATCTAAGGTATGGGGCAGCCAGAGTTTACCTGTATGCTGAACCTGTGCTTGCCTGACTTGCATGTGAGGGGCTTAGCTCCTCATGCTCCTGGGTAATGTCATCACATTCTGGTGGGAATGGCCGTGGGGTGAAATGTATAGAAATCAGGACATGGGCCCTCCTGGGATCAGAAGCATCCTTCCCCTATTGTCCCAAACAGCCTGGAGTCAGATGGTTTCACTTTCTAATAAAAGGCAGAAAAACTCTGCTTATTTAGGCCAACAGCATAAAAGGTGAAGCTAGAAACAAGTGCAGCTTTTCAGATCTATGGAAACAGGCTGTTCCGTATCACATTTGATTTGGAAAAAAAGGAAAGATACCAAACAGTGCTAAGACGTAAGCTTCATGATCACTCTGTTTGGTTAGTGAGGACAGGCCTTTGGTAAGGTTAATTAGACTCAAAGTTGATAAACAACTGCTATTTCCAAGGAAACAGAAGATATTTGGCCAATGAACCGCTCATATGCACCCCTAAATCTTTATTTGCTTAGCTTCTTTACAACTGATTTTCTGAGAAAGTATTGAGGCAGAGAAAGCAATGGTGGCAGCCTCAATCTGTTTTCTGCAACTGATAAGTTACTTCTCTGGAAGCCAGAAATACTAGGCAGCTATCTAAGTGGTATATTTGCATAACAGTTGGATTTAAAACACTTCCATCTCCTTGGAAGCATAGGGAGCAGCTGGGACCCCTCTCTCCAGCCCTCTGGCTCTGGGTCTTGGACATGTTTTCAGGGCATCCCCACTTGGTATTCCTGGTGGGATGAGGTGAGGCAGATTCCTAAGGGCAGGTGTGAGGGCTTCCATGGAGGTGGAATTCTTGAAACTCAATTTGAGAAAGACTTGGGAAGAAGCACCTACAAAGTTTTTGAGAGTCTGGCTCCTGAATAACGCCCCTCCCTATGAAGCCTATCAGGGTGAGGAACAATTTTGTTAGACTTTTCCTTAAGAGAGAAAATGCATTCACGTTGATTTGTGACTCAAAGAGAACACAGATTTTGATAGGATCCTCAGGCTTCAGTTTTCCAATCAGTCAATGGTTTTCAAATTGATGTGGTGTCTGCAATGGTGCTTGGGAGGGGAGTCACAGAGCTCCCCAAATTTTGGAAAACCAAGAAGATTTACAAATTACCATCTAGGGCAAGCTGTTAAAATTAGCTGATAAAGAAAATCTTAAAAGCCACGATGGTGTAACAAGGACTGGGTTTACTCTTTTGCTATAAATAGCTAGAAAACTGGGCTTGAAATGACTGTTTTTAGACACTAGACAAGACAGGAGAGGACTGTGATCCTTGAATAAAAGGGAAATTGACTGGGTAAACCCTCCGAATTCCCTGGCTTCCTGCCTAGAGGCACATTCTGAACTGCAAAGCACGGAGGTTGTGTTAGATTCCTAGGGCGGCCATAACCACAAACTGTGTGGCTTAACAGAATATTACTCTCACAGTTCTGCAAGTCTGGTATCAGAGATCAAAGTGTCGGGAATATTATTTCCTTCTGAGGGATACCAGGGATCATTTGTTCCATACCTCCCTTCTAACTTTTGATTGTTTGTTGTCAAGTTTTGGAATATCTTGGCTTATGATGATGCACTCTGATCTGTTTTCATGTTCACATGGAATCTTCCCTAGAATGGGTGTCTCTCCAAATTTCTCCTTTTTGTAAGGACACCAGTCAGATTAGTGCCCATTCCAATGACTTCATCTTAACTTGGGTAAAGACCCTATTTCCAAATTAGATCACATTCACAGGTAGTGAGGGTAGGAAATTTCAGTGTCTTTTGAGGGGACACAATTCACCAGAGAGGAGTATCCTAGGTAGACACAGCAATCTAGATGGACTGAGGAGAGTTCAGCGAGGCTGAGGGAGGCAGAGTTTGTTGAGAATTCTGAGGCTAAGAGGTGCTACCTAGAAAAAGAGCTTCAGAAATTGACATAAATTTATCGTCTTTACCTAGCTGAAGATGTGATACATAGGGAAACTCTAAGACTGAGTGAAGGCCAACCAGGAAGCAGCGAGTTCAATATTTCCAGAAAGCTCAAAGTGGGCTGGAAGACCACATTCTGCAGCCTGAATGGCACATCCTTGTTGATATCTGGGGCATTCAGTAGAGACACCAGAAGTACCCTAGTGTAAATTCTAACTCTTGAGCTGCTCTAAGCACGTTTAAAACAAGCCTCAAAAGATCATATTTAAATCAGAGCAATTCAACTAATTAACCAAAGAAAATTTAGCAATATCTAGAGGAACATAACAAACTCTACACACAGTGATATAAAATTTATATCATCAAGTATTCAACAAATATTACCTGATGAATGAAGAAGCAGGAAAATCTGACCTATAATCACGTCAAAAGCCAGTTAAAGAAAATATAGAACTAGAAAAGATAGGGATGATGGAATTAGCAGGAGAGGATATTGAAAAATCAAAATACAAAGTATATAAATGAAAACATGCACTTACTGAGGAAGAAAATGGAAGTTATGAAAATAAATTGAAAGAACTGTTAGAAAGGAAATGTTTTACTAAATGAAAAACTCACTAGATAGGATGGATAGATCACTTTCATTTGCACTGT